AAAGTTATACTCCACTAATACTTTACAAAGAGTTTAAGTTTAATTATATCTGTTTATTAACCAGGTTCTTTCTGCACCGGTCTTAACGTGTTTAGGCCTTTTTGATCACTTTTTTTCATACTTGTTGCTCCTATTTCCCTTTTTTTCATGGATCAAATGTTGAAGATTTTTTCCTGCTGCTTTACAAATGTGAACGCCAAAACTACTGTATCGTCATGGATAATAATTTATCGTAAACTAAGAGACTTTACAACTGAGCTGTTAATAATTTTCACCTTTCTGTTGCGCTGCACTATTTATTCGTCTTTTATTTAGAATTTTTCATGAGAAAAATTGAAAAAAATCATTCAAAAATTCCAGCCTATTTTGAAAGCTTTTTTGAGTAGTGCTCAGAAACGTCAGCTTTGCACTGTATTTAAAAGCTGCTCGACACAGGCTACATTTTCAACAACCAAAATAAGCTTCTTCCTGGACCATTGAAACTACTGGAACTCATCAAACCTGTTAACTGCACTTACTGTACTGTGCTGACGGTTACGCTTGAAAAGAGTTTTTATTTAAGTTGTCTGCAGGAAATGATGATTTTTAGCTAGAAATCTATTGCGCTAAGGTATTTCTTAGGTTTCTAAGCAGAAGAACACATATAAGAACAAAGTAATTTTCAATGATAAAACGTTGAGAAGTTTTGGGAGAAACGATAAAAAACGTTGTTGTTTACAATGGAAAAGTTGAGAAATAGTTGTTGTTGATAGTTCAGCATACTCAAAAAAATGAGCAGAAGGTAATATAAACAGTGAAATAAATGAATTGTAGTTAAAGGGTACTTTTTTTTAGAAAAAGTATCTGAAAGTTTGGTTCAATGTATTTAGCACTCAACTTCAATGACAAAATAAAATTTAACTGTTTTAAAGTTAAACGGACCTGGATTAAAAGTTTCTTCTGGTAGATAGTAACCAGAAAATTTTAAAATTTCATTCAAAATCAAGTTGCTTTTTTTATTTATTGAACAGTGCTATGAAACAAAAGATATTTGAAGTATCAAAGTGTTGACAAGGATGTTGAGCGTTATCTTTCATATCGGATAACCAACAGACTAATCATTCAAAAAATATTGTTCTCTTTTTTTTCAAATATTAGATAAATATACTCTCCAGAATTGTATCATCTGTGATTCATCAGTAAAGTAAAAATTGCCAAAATAAATTAACAGAAATAACTGTTGAAATGTTATAAAGTGACACATATAGTCATAGTTATTATAGCAGTTCAGAAAGCGTTTACAGCTATTTTATTGGATGAAAGAAAGACTCAGAACAAACCAACACAAATACGTACTTTATTACCTCAGCTTTACAACAGTACAAACAGCTTTTCTATCGGTTTACACCTTTCCAACATTGTTAGACTAAGCTAGTTAATTATAATTTAAGAAATACATTAATTCATATATAGCGTTGTATGAGGAGGAATGGAAGAAAAATCGACAGTATTATTGCACCAACCTAATGATTCTCTAAACCATTAAAAACTGTAACTTTCTATAGCAACCCTCCATACATCAATTATCAACAACGTTTATCGAAGTTAACCGATGAATAAAAAGTCAAAACTGTGACACATTTATCTGTAAACATTAGCGGAAGAGAAAGAGGTTAAGAAAAAAAGATAGATATATCTATTTGTCATTAGTAATACATAATGAGGCAATCTAAGTTAGAAAAATTTTTTTCTGTTCATAAACAAAAAAATTATTTGATGATGTTCTTTTTTTATTTTGTAGTTTTTTCTTCTAATACAAATTAATTCTTTTCGCTGTTTATACTGCTTTTCTGTTTTTGTATAATTGCAGATTTAACTCAAACGACTACTTTGGTAGCGAATTTAGTGGACCAAAATACACATCATTTTATTAATCTGTATAGGAATTTTTCAACATTGTGTAAACTGTATGAATAGAAACTGATTGATACTTTCCACTGAAACGTTGAAGTAACGTAAGAAAAGATGGTTTTTTTTTAGATATGGCTAACCTATATTCACTGATGTAAGTGTACCACTGAGCAAATTCAACGTCGTTAAGCTTGGAATTTTACAGAAACAACTTTGCAAATCTAATGTTTTGGTGTTCTGCTAAATAGTGTTTCAAAAGTGGTACAAAAATTGCTTCTTTTTTAAAATTTAACTGTTTGAGCTAAAATCAAAATGACAAAAAAAAACTTTTTTTTTTTACAAATATTTGTGATTTTTTTTTTTAGAAATTTCATTAGTTTCTTTGAACACTTCTATTTAGCACAGTTTGGAACAACTGCATATTCATCGTCTATTTGACGCCAAAATCAATGGGAAGGTTTAAAAAAGTGATTTGTTGTACAATTCAATGGAAATATTTGACGTAACAATTGAAATCTATTTACAAATTTTTCATTAATTAAAAACGAAAAAGCTTTTTTTTTTGCAACTTAACAAATCTTTTTTTTTCAATTTTTTTATTTCATATTTTATTAATATTTGTTTGAATTTTATTTAATAATTAAAATTGACAATAAAATATTCCTTTAATGGTTCAGTTTGTTCAGCTTACAGTGGATGTTCGAGTAAAACTGCCTTGCTCTGCTGTAAAGAAGCATTTTCTTAGAATATTGCCAAAAGTTCTATACGAATACTTCATGTAAAATAGACTGCACTAAGAAAAAACAGTTTAAATTTTTAGCTTTTTACTACAAAGTTTTTCTTCTTTTTACTGTTTTGCAAAACAATATTTAATCTGTTGAACAGAAGTGCTGACAGTTTTGAATGCCAAATTATATTCAGTTTTGTTGCTGATTATTTGTTTACAGCAACCAGTCTGTTACAATTAAATTGGAATCGACAATGGTTTAAGAAAATTTTTTTCTTATAAATGATATACAGTAATAATAACTGCAGCAAATGTATTAATTTTGAAGCTGTTATCCTATTTTATACGACATAAAGTTTAAATCTCAATGTCTGATTGATTAAATGTTTGATGACAAAAAATTGGCATATTATGGCATAAAATGTATAACCAAATTGGGTAACATTATTATATTATTATAGTTAATCAGAATATAACACGGCTAATTTCTTTTTCTTTTTGCTGATCTTAAAAGGTTGTAGTTGGAAATGGTAAAAATGATACCCCTTTAGTAGATAATGTTCTTTGAAATTGCACTTGTAAAACGGATAACATATGCATTTATCTAAGTTATTACAAATTCTTTTTTCTAAATTTTTACTCTTTTTTTGCTTTGTTTTATTTGCTTTGTTTTTGAATAGAAAAAATTTTCACATTTAAATCACTAATGTAATCATCATTTTTTTTTTTTTTTTGCTGCTACTGCCACCAATAAAATAGATAACAAGAAAAAAAATCTGATTATAATTTATAAAAGAAAAAAAGTGAAGCAATAATAGTGTTTTATTGAAGTGTCTAACAAAAATATAATTGCTGTAAGTTGAAAATACTTTTTAGTGAATGAATATTGGCATTCGATTAACGCTGTCAAAACACAGAGTATAAACCCGAAAACGAAGTTTCGGGTGTTATTTGATCAGTCAATTTTGCTACCCATTGTTATCGTAGTTTTCTGTTTGCTGAAGTTAACAGTAGACACCATTGCTGATTTTCGTGCCCAACTGCTCACCAATTTTAAAATATTTTTAAATTTTAATTTATGTACCAAATAACTGCCATCCAAATAAAATTTTAATTCTAAAAAACCTTTTAAACTCTGGTGATTATTTAAGCTTATTGCCGATGTTCTGCTGTTATCGTCAGTGGTAATAAGTGTCAGTTTGAAAACATAAAGGGAACACTGCTGACGACTGCAACATATTCAGAAGTTAGTATGCTACTGATTAATTGTTCTAAGCATCAGTATCATTATTATTCAGAAAAAAAAAGAAGAAACGGCATCAGCAAATAATTTGTGCCAGGAAGAGATATCTGCGGATATCCTTTATGCATCCTATTCCGATGACAGGACATCGTTCTGCTAGTTTTATTGCTGTTCAAAATTTCTGTTAATTTTGTTCAACCAAAAAATATCAAAAAAAACTGGTTGATATTGCAGTTGCCATTCAATTCTTATCATTTGTATATCATAGAGTATCACTTTTTTCTTTGCCGAGTTGCTAAAACACAGAAAACAACAAGAACAAATTATTTTGCTCGTTTCTTTGTTTGCTCATTTTTTAATCATATAAATACAATTTATCAACGTTTCGGAATGATGAGGGGAAAGAATAGAAGAGTTGTATGGCAAATTCATTTTCGATATCACTTTATCACTCTATTACTGAAGATTAGGATAAAGTGCAGAGCTAATTGGGTAAGTAATTAACACAGTTGCATTTGGCCATTTTTCCTCTTTCTTTTTTCTTCGTATATTTATGTGTTTGTGTGTATTTTTAATTATCAGAAGATAAAAGAAAAAACTTTCTTAAGCACAAAACAAAACAAAATAGAACAGAACAATTATTGTTATCGACGAAAAGTCTGTAATTTATACAAAGAAAGCAAACTGAATTAAGTATTTATAATCGAGACAAACTCGGTTAAGCTTAACCATTTTCTTTTTGGGAATACGCCGCAAACATAAACAAAAACCTTACAATTATTTCCTTGACAAAATGGTGCAAAACAAAATAAACAGATAGTGGGTGAACAGCATTGGTTTCCAAAAAAGTGCGTTGAGAAACTGCGCATAAGGATAGATACCTTATTGAAAAACAATAAATAAAATAAACAAGATCTGGCAAACCGAGTTGTGATTATGCTAAGCTCTAAGTCATGACACCTGTAACTACAAGAGAAAAAAGAGAATATCTGATTTGTGAGGTGCTAAGCAAAAGCGACAATCAGAGCTGCTGAAGTATAAAACCGTTTCCAAACGATCATGCGAAATAATCATTTCCATTCACAGTACATTGAATCGCGTTAACAGTCACAAACAGTTATCTTCCTCCTGCCTACCAGTTTAATTTTCAGACCTTAAGACATCTAAAAACGGATTCGTAAACCGCATCAGTCGATGATAGACAATCGATGAACCTAAATATAGACAACTGACAGATTAAACAATACCGACAACCAATGTCACATTTATGTAGCTATTTTACTAAGTAGGTCTCTTTTATAAATAACAGTTTTAAAATTACACTAACTTCTAACGGTACAATTAATCCACTCCTCTTTACTTATCCTTCGATTATTGTTCACGTCACAAAAACGCATGAACAGTTTTGCGCATTTTCGTGTACTGCTAAATACTTGTTCCTGTATTAGCATTTTTCTGTATCGCTTCCATTCATTTTTAGTAAGTTCCTGAAAAATCCATAGTACAATTATATGAAAAAAAATTTGTATGTGCTTTTTTCTAGCATACATCTATTTTTATGTTTATTTCAAGTGTATCGCCCAGTCATCCGGTAGAGAGAAGCTTCTAGAAACAATCAAATACTACAAGCAGTTGACAACAGTGAAAGTATACGGTAAATGCGAAGATCAACCTTATTTTCGTTAATATCAAGCTCGCTGAACTTCTTTAATGCAACCTCATGAAGATCTGCCTTTTCATTTTTGCTATCAAGACAGTGGCCACCTTCAAAGCAATGCAGTCGTAATGCGTTCAGATGTAGCCGTAAAAATTTTTTCATTTTTCTTATATGACAACCTGCAAAAGCCTTAAAAAATTATAAAAAACCAGTTCAACAATTTATTCTTGTTTTTTTTTACCTTTTTTAAATGTAGTAAAAGTATTATCTAAATGATAGCGAAGAGCTGAAACAAATTTGACATATTTAGCTTTCAAAAAGTTCTGAAAAAAAGTTTATATTTAGTAAGTGCATTAAAGGCACAGATTGCTAAAATTCATTTTAGTTTACACTTATGCTTTTTAAACTATTTGAATTTCTCGCTAGTACCACCAAAAGCTGCTGTAGAAAAATCTGTTTAATTGAATGTCATCAGCCATAATCTGAAAGTTAGTGCCAATTGAGTCACTAAGAATATAAATGCGACGCTTTTTCAACAATTCAATTGATATAACTGAACTGTAAAGTACAATTATTAAAAAGTCATTTTTTACTCAAATCAAAACCTTATTATAGCAATGGCTTATATCAAAATTATACATTGCAAACAAAAGTAAACCTGGCTCGAAATTTTTCAAGTCAAATTCCAGCACTTATACAGCTTATATTTCTCACCTAAGCCTATATGTCAAATATTGTAAATACCAAAATAGTAAATACCAAGACAGAACTGAAGTAATTGTTTTACAAAAAGTCGCTTTTATAAATTCAATACCAATGATCAACTGAATGGTCCGTACCTCTGTTTTTGTTCCTAACCGGTCGTTTCTGACCTGACGACTTCTGCGATTGGGCTCGAATCACTGGTTGCGCCTTGACAATTGCAATTTTTTTAATACTTTCCGGATCACAACGAATTTCATCTTTTGGTTTTGATGATCCCGCAATAACAGCTCCAGAAGGTTCTGCACACCAACAGATTCCACTCAGCGGATGACATTGCGTTGCGTTGTACAACCTTAACTTATTGATACTGAAAATTTTTGCAACAATAAAAAAAATTTGCTGTCTACAACACATCAAAAATTCTTTCTATTTTGATTCACATTTGTGAAAAGAATTTTTTTTTTCGCTTTTAGTTTATAAGACCTATTAAGAACAACAAAACCGTATTCTATGTAAGATGCATACTTTCAGCAAAAAAATTTTTCTGAATCTGAGTAATTAAGTAAATAGTGATAATCATAAGAATACAACAAGGAACAGTAGTGAAGCAGTGATTCATTTTATTTATTTTTTTTTCTTTGCTACATAATCTTCTCGATTTGTAGGTGTAGTTTTTTTGTAAGATGTAATTTGAGTGCTGGAAAAAAGAGTAGAAAAAAAAACCAAATCCTTTTGTGTTGATCATAATGATCACAACAAAAATCAACAACAGCAGCAAAGCGACAGAAAAAAAATGAGTTAAGTGAAGAATCAGAATTTTAAACTTTATAGACCTAGTGACACCACGTAATTCAGTATTCAAATGCTTAAAATTTGAAAGAAACTGAAGAAAATTTACGAGTCATTTGGCCCAGTGCATGACGGTATGTAAACTTCATACAAATCTTTCGTTGACTTCCGATCTTCAACAATTTTTGCTCTTTCTTTGCGGCAATCCAACTCTTCTAAACTCAGTAGTTGTAGAATGTTTCAGATAAAAAAACATTAAAAAGTGTTTTTTTGGTAACAGATATATCATCAGCATTTGTAAATTCAGTTTACAACAACAACTGACTAAAGTTGTGAATGATAATGTACAAATAGTTTCTCAAAATTAATCAATTAGGAACCATAATAATCACAGCAAAATTCAACAACAGCAATAAAAACAAAGCTACCGTCATCATTTTCAAATTTCATTTGTTTTTTTGAATTCTTTTTTTCCACCGTCAAAATATTTGTATTGGTTAAATTATTTTTTAAAGCAATTTCGAGATCATTTCCGGTACTATTCATATACCGAACTTCGTTGGCTGTACCTGAAAGCATGTACAGTTTCACAGTGCTAATATTCAACAAACTTTATTACAATGAAACAGAAAAAAAAACTGTTTAAGGTAAATAAATAAAACCGAAAAAGATTTTTTAAAAAAAAGCTATTGAGTTAGAGTAAATAAATATTAGACCAAAAGAAAAAAAAGACAATTCTGTGATCAAATATTATTATTTAGCCAAAACACTTTGATTCTGTCTGAATAACAACAACAAGTGGCCAAATTACTTGTCTTTTCTCTATAATGGGCAATAAAATTTCCATCAACTGTTGTCATTATTTAAAAAACTAAGTAAAAACATTCAAAATAACCACATCTTATTGGC